GCTGTAGGTCAATTCCGCCACCTTGTCATCCTTCGGCGTGGCCTGGGATTCTGCGCGGAGGCTTCGTTCCCCGTGAACCTGACGCAGGCATCCCGGGCTTGTGGCTTTCCGGCCCGTTCGGGACCTCTACTAAGCTTTCAAGGCGATTCTGATTCAACCCCCTCATGGTGGCTGCCGATGTCCCGACTCCTACTTGATATCTGCATGGTTTCACGGTTTCATGTCGTTCCGACTTTAGTTACGGTTTCGAAGAGCCGCTTAGGCCTGTCTGCCTGTCTGTGTGTCTGTCTGTGTCTGTATGCAGGCAGGCATGCATGGCTGCATGTATGTACGAGTGTATGTAGGTAGGTAGGCATGTGCATACGCACATATGTATGTATTTGTGTTTGTCTATTTGTTTGTTTGCTCGTTTGTTTCTATGCGTATGCATGTGTGTATGTTTGTATATGTACGAGTTACAGAGGCACACATAGAGGTAAATATGCACACGTACATGCATGTATGCAAGCAGGTCCATCGGACGAGGGCTTCTCGGTACCCTCTGCAATCTTCTTTGTACGCGCAATTGCAACTATTTTGCCAATGAACACGCTGAGAACCGATTGATTCCTTGCGCCCTATAGCTTCAACTTCTCGTGCTGACATTGGCCTTGAATCTCCGCTGAAGGGCTCCGGGCGCTTTGGATTCGCCAGGCTGCGATCCTCGGCCAGCGATTTCTCTGTGTCCAAGCGCCAGACGTGATCCAGCAACTTGACCCGCATTGCTTGGAGGCCGGGGCCGGTCTGGAAAACGCGGCCACTAGGCCAAGTTATCCTTCGCAAGACGTTCTCTTCGACTTCGTTTGAATCCTGGTTTACTTGTGGTTTAGCGGTTCTCATCTTAGAGATGCCAGCGCGGTTGCTCGCCAGACGGTCTTCCGCTGCGAAGCCTGGCTCGCGGACTGCCTGGGCACCTCAGAGACCAACAAGGCTTCACCAGTTCAGCGGTCTTGGAGCCATTGCCACCATTGCATGCAATCTTCGGGTTTGTCTACATAGATTTGTGCGTACCGAGGTGTGGAGGAATGAGTGTGTCAACTGACAAGAGTATCAGCTTCCTTTCCATGAAATTTCACGGCTTTCTGCTTACACTTTTTGGGCTGGGTTCATGCAACAGAGCAAGCAGTCCTTCATCTGCTTCAAGCAAGTGAGTGTGAGAGGCCGATGTTTTTGTGGATGCGTGCATGTGTGCGTACAGACGACGGCATGCGACGACAAAGCGTCCACAAATACGTAAACGCTGGTAAACTCATTTACATACGCAACGTAAGCTGACAGAGACACACACACACAAAAGACGGAGACATGGAATTTGCTCGACGATCTCGCAAAGGCACATGACACGTAGCGGTGTAGCCGGCGCTGTTTCTGTGTGTGGGGGCGGGGGGAGGACTTGCTGCGCTCCATCCGAAGCTATGAACCTGAGCGGATGAGTCTCGGAATGGTCAACGATGTCCAGGACAGGATCAGACTACGCTCTCAGCCTTGAAGTTTTTCTGCATTTCGCGAGTCGCTATGCAGTTTGCATCAGGACTGCTGGCCCGACTGCCCAGCAGACGCGGCCTAGCTTCAAGAAGAAAGACATGGCCATTCACCTAGGGTGCTTGACTCACATTCCTACCTACATCGCAGCAAGCGGATAAAGGTCCTCAAGGTCGTGGTGCTTGGTCCGTGAGGGCCCGTGACTTTGTTCTCTCACTGCTAAGGTACTGTCCATGCCCTCAACCAAAAATTTTTGCAGCTCCCAGTTTACATGGTCGCTTGTCCCATCCCGCGCATTCCGGCGCCAGGTCTCCGCGAGAACATGGGCGGAGATGGACACAGGCGCCACAGACTGATTGTCCTGTTCGACTTCAGTCCTAGGCTCACACAAGCTCAGGTTGCATCGAACAAGGCTGCGTCTTGTGAGTTTGCCAACATACTGTCCGTTAACTACCAGTAGGATCCGAGACTTCGGCTTTCAGCAGTATCACGTGGCTTTGTGGGCAGTGGGTCTGGTAGGGTGCACGGCTTGGGGTTAGGTCACGGATCGCGGCCATGGCAGTGTTGCTCCGATTCAGCTTGTCTGGAACTTATACCAGCGATTACTGTTGTGATGCCAGCTTCTTCTGTTATGGCAGTCATGTCATCATGTAATACAACCTTTACAGCTATGCAGCAAAATCTTAGAGCAAGTGATGGACAGCCGTGCTTGATACAAACACTCACAAGACATGCGGTAATCGGCAGCAACATATGACGAAACACGTCGCAACTGACGCATTGTTGTAGTGCGAAGGCACCCTAGAAGCCACACTGTCAAGACGGACAGGCAAGAGTGTGGTTCTTCATTCAATCTGCAATAAACGACACTATGGACTTTGGATGGAAGATGTCACATGTACGGTGCACTACCAGCTGTTGGTATTGGTGTGCTTGCAGGTCTCAGCTACAATGCACGTTGCCACCCACACCAATCTCGCGTGGGCTGTTGCTGCAACGAATCTAGTCCCGATTTTGGGATGTTTTCTTTGTTGGTGCTCCCTGTCGTTTTGCACAGGGGATCCCAATCATGGAGAAATCGAGCGGCTGCCGAATGCAAGACCCAGGATTTCAACATCATCGAAGAGCACCGAGCGGCACAAAGGGCTGACATGTATCTGCGGCTTGACAAGACAGGACTGGAAGAATGGGAAGGATCTTCATCGGGCTAAGTCTTAACCCAGTGCGCAACATCAAGATTCGTTTGACTCATGCTGTCCTGTCGGCATGCTTCTGGCTTCTGCTTGCACTGCTAGTGTTCAAACACAAGTGGTGCACAAACAAGCACATTTCGCCAACTGAACATTTACAGTTTTGGGGTTAAACCTATGCTGGAGCACCTGCCGACACCTCCAAGTACGGACATGGACGAGCCTGCCTTGTAAGTTCGATCATCTCTCTTCGGTTTAAGTAGCAAGATGAATCGCAGCAGAATCCCAGCCGGGATCGAGGAGGTTTTCGTTCCAAAGGCTCCCTCTTCCGTAACTTTACGCGCGTGGGCGTGCGTTTACAGGGGGAAGACTGCGTTTACAGGGGGAAGACAAAGCAGTCTCATCCAAGGCTGCTGATCTTATCGTCCCTTGTGGCTCGGGGCCTAGCAATCCCGTGACGCTACAATCCTCTGGTGACCAGCGAGGAGCATTTGCTTGGTTGCTGTAGACGTTTTGTCACACTCATGCTTGTCCTCGAGCTTTCCAGTGTGTGGCACAGGTGCGGCCCCAACAGAATGCCAATGTAGGATTTGGGCATGAACTTCTGGGCCTCAAAGCTAAAGCATCTAAACTTGTAGAGCCGAAAACAGAGTGGCACACTTACCACTGCTATTAGGACTGCGGAGGCGAAAATGCTTATTGCAACTATGCTCATATCAACGGGTTCCTCCCACCCCACTGGGGACTCCCTTTTGAATTTAGGCCTTCGGGTCACTCCGTTCAGATCTAGGCTTTCTCACCCATCAATCCCTCTGGGTGCTTCGGATGTGGCAACATAGCTAGACAACATCTCCTGCTACCGCTGCGGCTATCCTGCTGCAACGACGAGGACTACTGCTGCTGCTACAACTAGTACTACTACTACTACTACTACTACTGCTAGTGCTACTGTTACTGCTAGTAGTAGTAGTAGTAGTAGTACTACTACTACTACTACTACTACTATTACTACTCCTGCTGCTACTACTGCTGCTATTACTATGACTACTACGACAACTGCTACTGCTACTGCTAGTGCTAGTGCTAGTGCTACTGTTACTGCTGCTGCTGCTACTACTACTACTACTACTGCTACTCCTGCTACTCCTGCTACTCCTGCTACTCCTGCTACTGCTACTCCTGCTACTCCTGCTACTCCTACTCCTGCTACTCCTGCTACTCCTACTCCTGCTACTGCTACTGCTACTGCTACTGCTACTGCTACT